TCTTCATCCTTATTTGTCCCCGCCTCTCCCCTACCTCACCTCGTTTCACTTGAGTGTCACACAGCGCGAGTGAGAGAGAGAGATTCGTTTGCCTCGGGTCAATGGAAACTTTTGTAATTATTTTATCTCGAAAATGCATACGGTATGAACAGCCAGAGGATGATTCGTTTCCGTTGTTGGTTAACCCTAATCCAGATAGAGAGCCGTTTTGTGATGTTCTGCGCTCTGTCAGAAAATGCTTAATCTGTTATCCGGTAAGGGCATAATTTCTGATTCTTCTTAAAGACTATTCAAGTGCTCGCATTTTGTTGTTTGCTGAGTCGGAACGTATGAGAATTTTTGGAAATTCAAAAGAGTTCATTACACAATAAAATATGCGCATCTCTTTAGCATGGTTCTGCCTTACTTGCTTGATTTACATCAAGCTATGAAGCAGCACTCCAAAAATGGCACTGGAGGATGCTTTCTTTTTGATTTTGCACAGATGTGACACAGTGATAGGTGTTTAACATACCAGTAAGTGTGTCACTCTGAGTCGATTACTTGCTCTGATCTGTCGAATGTAGCTTTGAGTTGCTGGCCGTCAGACACTCGTGACCAGTGAATGATTGAACCCAGATGCTAAACCAATTTAGCGCAGTTGCCGTTTTCATGGCAGGAAACTCAATTGATTATACCACTACTACCCTTGTGGGGTTCATGCCATTCACGTTTTTTCTCACAATTCTGTCCTGCCTGTGTTGTAACGTTGGAACCGTGACCCAACGATACGTGCGGCAGCAATGACCACGAGCAGAACCGTACGATCCATCGGATAAATGAACAACCAGTACACGAGTGCGCTTGACTGCGGCAAATCTCAATAGAACCGGAAGGAAAACGCCCCACGAAAGTAGTACAACCAGAGAGAACACTGAAGACATACCTTCAGACGAGGTTGTATATTTGGCCCGATCAAAAGGACGATGACTGTGGACAACTCACCTGTTTATATACAGTTTGAGGACCGGCCAGTAATGAGCTTGTAAATTAGGTCAAAATTAGAGTCATAGAAAAGTAGAACAATGAAGATTGAATAAAGCCGGTAGTGCTGTATGAGTCTCTTTCGGCTCCAAAATCCGGAAATTTAAAGTTTATAAAAATAGTTAGTAAAATAAAGGGGAAATAGTCGCTTTCGTAGGAAAAACGGTCTTTATCAACCTAATAGTCTCTGCCTTGTAAATTCACTTGTTTTCCTGCCTTCCATCTCACACATGCTTTCCCGTTTACTCGCACCATCCCAAAGGATGCTTTGACTCTGTGCAATCATCTGCGAACAATTTGCAATCTGTTTATGACCACCGATCGTCGTGAGTTGCGTAACTTCNCGACAAACCCTTCGTCCACTGACCCGATTGATTGAGAACAGGTCAGTTCGATACATTGCTTACCCCACCCCACACCTGCATACACACACCCAGTTGTATTTCTATGATGTAAAGTGCTCTAAAATGCAACAGTACACTGCCACTCTGGTGCTCTTCTCTTTGTGCGACTATATTCAAGTGAAGCACAGGTTGTCGATTTGGTGTTTCTTTTAAATCTGGTAGCGTTGACATGTGTACATATATATGTATATTTTTGTTTCTGTCTCTACAATCGCTGTTCGTGAAGTCTACAAGGTTATATAACGGCTGATGGGACATCAGTGTGAAGCACCGCAGCAGTGTGCACCCTTTCCTTAAGGGACGGTAAGATTTCATGATAGCGCCATGGGTTTGCGAAAGCCACTCTAGTTGTTACTTTTTGTGATATGATCTCCCGAATACCACCTCCAGCTGCGATCAAGCTCCTGAGGGACTTAAAGCACTCAACCGCAAATGGTGAGTACAGACACAAGCTCCTGCTAGTCTTGTATAGGCTCTTTGCATTTGGACGCTGCAATGTCCCTACCTAACTTGGATACCTCGATCTCCAAGCGGTTGAAAGCATGTTGGGTTGTTTGTGTATGGTCATCTAGCAATGCCATATTATAAGTCAAGAACTCGCTTTACTTGGTATGTTGTGAAAGTGACTGGTGTTTGACAACGGCGCTCTGTCCGACGCACTGGCTGATTATGGGTCCAGTTATCGAACCTGTTTATCTGACATGTACAGTCGTATATCGTTGAGCCCATCACGATGAGACTCAGTCAACCGCTCTTGGCTCTGGCGCTGTCTTTCCCTGAAGGTTGTGTTTGAGAAGTTTATTTCAATACTAACGTCCCTTTCTACTAATTAGTGAATCCAAGTTTGAACTCACGGCCCTCTTGCACCCTAGTTCAATAGAAAAAGTGGCGTTCGTCAAGGTTCTCCTCCCTCGTTTTTCATTTAATTTCGCTATTGATTTGATTATGCAAATAACTCTGACCTCTTATGAGAATAATAACATCGCTTTGCTACCAGGTGACAGACTGTGATCTGGAGTATGCAGACGACATTGTACTGTTAATTGAAGATCCGGATAATTTGCACGCTCTTCTGGATAGATTGAGTGTTAGTGTAGCTATGTCGGCATGATTTTTACACCTGGTGGAAGCACCACGGATGAAGTGTCGGCACGCCTACAGAAAGTTCGGTTGGCATTTGCCAAGTTGAGACATTTGCGGCGCCGTCGCGACAGACAGTTTCACGCCAGACCCAGCTTGTTCTTATGCGGTTCGCCACTCCAAGTCCTGGGGCTTAGGTTTCTGGCTTCCATGATTGAACAGCAGGTCTTCGTGGTTATGAGGTCCGTCTGCCGTTTGTCACGCAAATGTGTAATAAAAAAACAATTATTACGCTGTTGAATATTTACGTGTTGTTGAAGATCTCCTTCAAGGAGGACCAAGACGTCGTCGTCTGTATTCCAGATTATCCTTCCGAATGCAGCTTTTTTATTTCGTCTGTGTTTTCTGGTTGATTTATTCTCAATACGGGAATTAGAGTTGATGACGTTCAACAATTACGATCACTAAAAGTGATTTGATCCAACCGGCTCACGTTTTTCTCACTTCGTTATTTAAACAACCGATGTCAGTCGCTAGGTAATCATTATCCAGGAAAGCAAGCATTCATGGTTTTCCCGCATCGATCGCTTTATGTTCCCTCTATCTACTTCCCACACTGTGTAGTTGTGTTTTTGTTCCATTTCAGTAACTATTCCCGTATCCTGATACCGATTCATCGTCAACTCGTACCCACACTGCCTGCGGCACGTTCCCGTTGCGAAGATATGCAACGTCATTGGCCATTCGGTGCCGGTTCAGATCATTCGGTCTATCTGACCCGGATGGAGGACAATGTGGATATTCTGGGATCACAAACGCGACCGAAAAAGATGACTTGGCTCGGCTCGGATGGAAGACGCTATATTATTGTGGCCAAGCCTAATGTGAGTTGTGTGCGATCGACGCGTCATTTACGTTCACTCCTCATTTCTCTTCGAATACGCACGTGCTCTCTGGTTTAGTGCGTTTCTTCAGACCCCGTGTATTTTTCTCCTTTTTTTCGTGAGCTATAACTAGTCTCAAAGTGACATTAGGGAGGGGAAGTGGGGTTTTTACCTTTTTAACATATTTTTCTTTCTTAAACGATTATTGCGTCGTTAATTACCGTAAAACGTTACACAGTAGTCAGTTTTTGTTTCTACAGGGTTTTCCGAAAACGTGTACTACACTCAGTTTTCTGCCGTAGCAGTTCTTCTCGACACACAGCGCAGACTCGTTTTTCTAGCACCCTTTTTCGACTAATCACGATAAACATTCAATACATTTATCCCCGGCTTTCGAACAAGCTTAGTGCCAACTCGAGAACAATGGCAGTGGGAATAAAGGCTTTAGGTGCAGATGAGGAAAACGTAGATGAGCAAATTGGGAAGAATCGTAAAACGGGAGCACCAGTATCTTTTACTTTACTGTATTCCTTGTCCTGATGCTGGTCTACAGTTTTCGATTGCTGTTCCATCCACTGGAACACATTCGATCAGTCTCTCCTCATCTCCGTTTATAACAGACTAATCGAAAACAATCTAGTTCACAAAATGCCACACCATTAATGATTTTTCTTAGTGAAATTTGGACAATACCGTGTGAATATAACAAAATCAGTGATCTTTGTGATTTTTTTGTTTCTGATCGTAGGTACGATTCTTTTGAGCGTTGTGTTCATAAGAATACTGCTATGCTCTTCTAATGCATCGTCCATGCTCTGCCGTACACCTCTCTCTGTCTCTCTCCATGTCGCCGTGAATGTTATTCTTTGTGCTCACAAACACTTTCCCACAGTAGTCGTATGAGCGTAAGCAGCTTCAGCTTTCAATTTGAACAACCATTGACCATGCATTTTCGTGCGCCGGCTTTGTTTACTGTCTTTTGGCTGCCCGTTTAGATGAAACAGTATGAGAAAGACAGGCAGATTGAAAGTAGAATCGAAGGGTAAATGGAGAATTTCAGTGAACTACTGTTGCAAAGAAATTGAGAAGGTGCACGAACACCACTGTTTACCACACTCAGCCATATCTCTTAGTGTCTCAACCAACGGGTACGATCATCCCGAGGTGCCCATCTCCACGGAGACTAACGGGACTTATATGACCGAATCCCCTGTTTAGTGTTTTCATACACTCATGTCAGGTCTCAGTTCGACTGCCCTTGTCCTTTTTCCATCCAATGTCTGCCTCCGCAAATATCTCGCGCTATGGCAGTCCATTTGGTGGCATGCGTAACACACCCCAACCAGCATAATCTATGGAGGTCGATCGCTTGCTTCAGTGGGCGACCCCAGTTACCGAAGCATAGACTTCAAATCTGTGTAAAATTTTGTTTTTCACATTACTTATCCGGCTGAGCTTGCCTTACGCGAAGTGTGACAGAGTGCATCACCTTGGACGATAAATCCCGTCTGAATCACTCCGATTTCAGATTGTGTGCGAACACGTGCCTAATTGGGGCACAGATTATTTGTTTGTCGATAGTAACACGGATGGGTGACTTTTTCGTAGATCGTATTTCATTCGAAATCAGCACTTGAATTGTGACCGGTGGCTTCTATAAACTACTGGTGTTCATTTCTACAAATAACCCTGCTACGACAGGCTCCAGGATTGTCAGGGAAGAGATTTTGTTTTCAAAATAAACTAGTCGTCAAAAAGAATAGTCCATCACTCTTCTCATGGGCAAATTCAATCATAGGTGGTGGGCAGCTTTGCTGTCTCCCGGTTCAATACCAGACCTTACCATTTGGTTCGCCACTCCAAGTCCCAGGGCGTAGGTTACCGGTTTCCGTCACTGAGCAACAGGTTGTCGTCATTATGGGGTTCACCCAGCATGTTGTTCATCACACAGTGGTGTATAGTAAAGAAAAAAGTCTTCTATGCCCCTTTTGATTGCCGGTTTCACCTTTCGGCTGCGTCACATCATACACATAAATCGTTTCCCGTATGACACCGTAACCAACTCACAACCAATTTGCCTTTTCTATATCTGCTATTGGTAAAACAGATTTATTCCTCAACCCCTATACCCCTATAGATTCTTACATTGTGTATATTGTGAATTTGGTGGTGGTACGTGAGGTTCGCTGTCCAAAGATATTGGCTCGTAACAGTTTTTTTTACCTTCGTCGTTGGTGGTCGTCTTATTTGGTGCTATTCTGTCTCCAGTCACCCCTCCCCACCTTTTCTTCCAAGTTTCCAGCACGTTTTCACCGGAAATTCCTACTTTTCGACCTATCCTTTTTCGTCGGTATCGAATTAAACCCAAGATCATAGCCTCTTTCCCGCGTCACCTTGAGTAAAACCACTTATTGTTTGCAGACGATAACGAACTCCCGGGAGATATTGTTTTACACTGATTCAGTATGGTAATTCTGGGTTGTTTGGAAAGATCATGCTTATATCTGTAGTGGAAATGTTTGTGATAACCGACAAACAGCACTAGACAACTGTTTCGTCCTGTTTGTGACTCGTAATTCTGCGTTGTTTTGAAAGACCATGATTATCTTTCACATATCTACTATTCGCCTCTGTCAATGGATAAGCTATTCAGTTCAGCTTTTACAACCAATATTCATGAATTCCTTTGTGCTGCGATTTTGTTTTGTTGTCTTTAGGATAGGATAAGAAAACAGAAGGTAGACTGGAATGTTGTGAGCAGAGTAAAAGGTAAGATAGATGATTTACATGAACTAAGGTTTCAGGGATAGCGAGTAGGTACATGAGCGCCGCTGTTTGCGACGCTCAACCATATCTTTCAGTATCTCTAATCACTGGGTGCTATCATCTCGGGGTCCCCATCCAAGAAGCCTAACAAGGCCTATGTGGACAAGTCTCCTAGTTAGGGTTTTCATACCTTTATGCTAGGTCTTAGTTTTACCGTCCTCAACTTTATTTCATCCGTTGCCTACCTCAGCAAGCAACTCGCTCCGTGGTAATCTGTTTAATGACATGCGCATCTCATATCCCAACCAACGTAGTCAATGGAGGTCGACCATTTGTTCAAATGGACGTTCGCGATCAGCTGAAACTCTGCGTCTAATCTCAACATTGCTTGTCAGGGTGCCGCACCAGGCTATGCGACAGAATTTAATCCAAAAAGAGATGAAAATCTTTGTCCGATGGAGCACATCCATCGCACTTTTTTTGAAACTTTTTGCGTACCAGTTTAGGGAATGCATTGCCTAAGCTTTTTTCCAACTTCTTGGAAACCATCGCCACAAGATATTAATGTGGGTTAAGCGTGAAATTCGGAGACGTAACTAAGTAGCTTTTCACTGCGAAAATAAGCACTTACTGGTCTCATTTGGCTGTATATACCACAAGAAAATTGTTGATGCATGGATTTCACTAATACATGTACCTGTGGTTAACACTGTGAGGGGCTTTCACCCGCATGCGTTGATGAGCCTCTCACGTATAGCAATTCAGATAACCGGGTCATCCTTAATTTGAATGCACGTATTAAATAGGCTCGTGGATACAAAGTCTGTTGTATTTTAACACGCGATTTGTGAGTTGTATCTGGGTGCCCGGGTTAATACCTCGGTTTCCTGGGCTGCAGAATAAACCAGTGACACATACTAACTTCGAAAATCTGTTGATTCGAACCATCGTTGTGATACCCGATGACCATTGTTTCTCACTTACTCTCAACAGGAGTATAATGACCTAGGCATCGGCATCTCAGGTAATGTCCTGTCCGGCACTTTTTTAGTTTGCAAAATCACTTTGTTCCTATATCATCCAGTCAGCAACGGAGTTTGTTAAGGTAGAGGCAACCGGGGTCCGTTCTCTTGTTATTATTTCATCAAACATCGTAGTCAAGATAGAATTTCCTATCTGGTTCCTCGTTCTTAATTGCACCCACAAGCTTTTTGATCGGTTGCCTGGTCGTACACTCTTGATATAGCGTTTGTTGGCTTGGATACAAGTGTCGGTAGTGGGGAAGTGGACACCGATGCCAAATGTAAAAACTCGGTCAATAAAATTTCCCACTTACGCCTATACAGTTTTCCTACAATTTCTTCGTGCACCATATATATATATATATATATAATATGCGTACATATTTATGTATGTAATGGCTTCTTCTCCTTTCGCTTTTTCTAATGCAGGATGATTTGCGTAAAGACTCACGTCTGATGGAACTGAACGGAATGATCAACAAGTTTCTGGCCAAAAATCCGGAAACCCGTCGACGAGCTTTACAAATTCGCACCTATGTGAGTGTCTTCGCTGCACATAGAATACACAACCGTCTTGTTCTGTGTAATAGCCTGCATGGTCTGATCCTCTTTGTACATTCTATGCTAGAACTGAAACAAATTCGAAATTTTCTGAACGGTTTCCGTCGAAACAAAGCTATTTTCGGCAGACTTTCCACGCCCTTAATTTGTTGAATAATTCTTAGTGATCGATTGAACTGTTTCCGACTGCAGACAAACCACTGATCAGGTGAATGAGTTGGACTATTTAAAGTGGCCCTGCTGAGGGAATATTTCATTTTGTGTATTGTGTTCATCTATCTGCTAGCGGTCAGGTGGAGACAAGATATGTTCAACTGGTTTCACTTCATAGTATGATAATGTGACCACTACTCGTGGACGTTGTTAATTGACTGACAATATTTGTACATGTTTCTGTTTTCGTTAAGCATCCTTATTGGTGTTCATAGAAAACTTAACTGTATGACGAACTGTTATTTGTTGTGGCATATCTGCCAATTCTATGTAATTGACTACGTGTTAAATATATATATAACCATTATTTGTAGTTAACTAGAATAAAACCACTATTATCATGTATGACTTTTTCATAATTTTGTTTTTCTTCAGATTTTCACATTTTTTGTCTTCCATTTTGTCAGAAAATATTACAGCTAAAGATCATTTTTTTTAAATTCAGCGTTTGTCCTTTTTTCAGCATCTGTTATCCTGAATGAGTCATCAGAGTTTTAACCGAGTCGGTTAGTAATCCAGCCTCTAAAGTTTCTTTTATAGAATTTGGCCGGAAGTATGGGTTCATCACCCTTTCGAAAATAGATCTCTTTTAAATTTGACATCAAAACCATTTTTATATTGTGTACGATTAAGTAAAAATAAGTCGAAATGATGTGCAGTAAACAGGCAAAATTGATCGTTTTTCCCCGTTCTACTTCTGTATTCCTCATTGAACCCATGTTTATTGTGATGCCGTATCTGTAAAGGTAGTTTATATATGTGATAGTAATTGAAGTATTGGTAATTTATACGATGAATTCCTCGTGTAAATGTGGCCTATGCCTAAAAGCTGGGGAGCACTGGACAGCTGTTCCGACCTGGTTGGCTCTTATCAGCAGTGCGCGAGTTCATCGACCCCACTGGGGAGCGAACCCGGGACCTCACATATAGAACGCAAGCATATTACCCACTCGGCCACCGGACAGCTGATAAGATTGTCTCTCATTTCGAGTATACACGATATAGCAACAAGAAATATTCAGGTTGTGAAAGTTTCCAACCGAGTAATAACCCTTGCGGTTATTGCTGAAATCAGCTAGGGTCGATATTCGCAACAAGCTCGCATCGATGGGTTTTGTTATGTCGTNCGGTCCGGTCAGCTGCCCGGTGTCCGAGTGGTTAGTAGGCTTGTGTTCTATCTGTGAGATCCCGTGTTCGGTCCCCAGTTGTGTCAATGGATTGGGGCTGCTACTGGTAATTTATTCTCCATGCCGTACCGTTGAAAAGCCTTGAAAACACTCTACACCTGTTTTTTCTTTCTCGGAAATCGTTTGCAACAAATGTCCATCGACTTTATGGCCACTGGAACTCGTTAGGTTTTGTGATTTATCTATTCTTCTACGCCTCATTCGATTGACTGTTCATCCGTTCTATCTGACATTTGTACAACTGACTGATTCCACGCATTACTTTCACCTCCGCAGGCTGTAATCCCACTCAGTGAGAAAGGTGGCCTGATCGAGTGGGTCAGCAACACCGAACCGTTCCGCACGATCATCACTCGTCTGTACAACGAGGCCGGTCGACCGATTAATTGGGCCAATATGAGTCGGGTAGCACCGTTGCTCGAGGATCCACTCCCGTATGTCTGTGCGAGATAATTGTGTATCGTGGGTCATACCTTGCTTTTCTCCAACACTTTCTGTTCTCATTGTTGTCATGGCGATGTTGTGTCCGAGTGTTGAATCTCCACTGGTCAAATCGCGTTCAGTGCTCTGTATCTCAACTAGGCTTGCATAATGAAAATTTACCAAAGCACTAGGCAGGCTAGGCAGTTCAGTTGTAGATAAGTGGTACGAACCTATTGGATGTGATTGACGGTCTTCCCTTGATCACAATACATCTGTTACATATTACTCAAAATGAAAGATAAAGGATTGTTATAATCGTCTTCATTATTATTATTATTAATCAGGAATGAGGAAATGTAAAAGATTAATGTAGAAAGTGAGTTGAACCACTGTTCAACGGTAACTGCAAATCGGTTGACCTTAAGTCGTGTAGACTGTATGCTGTTTTGTCCAGTCGCTGCACCTGCCGCCTTGTTTTCAAATGTCTCATCATCCGTTTAATTGTGTCCTACTTCTTCCGTTAGGACTATAATTCATTTCAAACTCACCTTTGCATTTGCATAGGGTCAAACGGGACAAATATCTGAACAAATGGCTACCCATGTTTCCCTTGGTTTTTCACCGTTGGTTTTTGAACATGTTCCCCAATCCCAGCGCTTGGTGAGTCACCTTCCGAAGCGAATCATCTCTCATCTGATTTTTACTATTTTATCATTATTATTATTACTGTTGGCGTTTGTGAACGCATTAACTACTTAATTTCCCATTTCTCTTGATAATTACTACATGTTCCACGGAACTGGAATCGTTTGTTCCAACTTGCTGCCATTTCATTGTCACAATTGCAAGCAGACGGAAAATCCTCATTCCTGTCGACGGCTGGACCCCACTTGTTACACTCCTTATTGTTAGTCGCAGTAATCGCGATAGTCTACCGGAGCAAGTATTCGACCTTCATAGACTACATTGGTTGGGACATGTGTTACGCTTGTTATCAGGTAGGCTGCCATGGCGAGCGATGTTTGCCGAGGCAGTGAGCGGTCGGAAAAAGCTCAAGGGCGGTCAAATAAAGACCCCGCATGAGGGTATGAAAACCCTGACCAGGAGACTGGGTCACGTAGGTCCCATTAGTCTCCCGGGCTGGGGACCCCGAGATGATGGCCACCGATGGTTAGAGACGCTGAGTGATATGGATACGTGTCGCAAACACTGGCGCCCATGTATCAACTCATTATTCTTGAAACATCAGTCCATATCAATTCTCTATCTCCCGATTGAATTTACTCTAAAAATTCCAATCTTCATTCCATTGTTTTATCCAAGTTGGTGACCAAAAGACAGTAAACAAAACTGGCTCACGAAAGTGCATGTTTAATGGTCGTAAAAACTGAAACTGAGTCAATTATGTATGAAACACCCTTGCACTCCTGGTCCACCCCGTTTCCCACAGTCTTCATGCTTTTAAACACTTGACTCAGGACCTGATACTGCTCAAGTGTGCCTTCTCGTTTATGCTTTTATTCAATAAGTTTTCAAGTTATGTGGTCCTATCTTCTCTACGGTGTGTGTTTGCCATGTAATATATGCTACAATCGACATATCCTAGTCGCGTACGCAGTTTTCGCAATCAGATGTACTCCTGGCATGATTCGTGTTTCATTCATTCCCATTCTTCCCAGGTACTCAGCACGAGAGTGCTACGCACGTACCTGCGCGGTGATGAGCATGGTTGGCTACGTGCTCGGCCTCGGGGATCGACACACAGAGAATATTCTATTCGATTCGACCACTGGCGGTGTGGTCCATGTGGATTTCTCCTGTGTGTTCAATAACGGATTAAATTTGCCCTGGCCCGAACGTGTCCCGTTCCGACTGACCCGAAACATGGTTCGCGCTCTCGGTCCGACCGGTTACGAGGGGATATTTCGACGCTGTGCGGAAGCAGTCATGCGATTGTTACGTCACGAGGTCGATCCATTCTTGGCTGTGTTTCGTCCAATCTATTTTGACGCGCTAGTGGAACAGGGTGGTGGTGGTGGTGCTAATGGTCGGGGACCGGCACAATCATCCGATGCGGGTAAGTGTGCTGGACAATCTTTGAGTTTTGATGCAAAATTGCAAACTATTCAGTGGGTCATTTCATGGATAATGGGTGAATGAAGAAACGACTACTGTCTTTCTTCTTGCGTAGCTACGTTTCACCCGTAGTCAACAGAAATATCGCTAAACCCATTCACTATTATTTGGTTGCTTTGTTTGGTCACTTCAGAAATACTGATGATGTCAGCTCGGCTGGTGATCAAATGTTTGCAAACAAATAGCCAAGTTTGGCGAACAGGCGAAATGAAATTCTTTGTCTCCTCGACCACGTTTATGGCATATTGCTGAGACGCGTGATCCGTATTTCTTTTGAGAATGGGGCGCATATGAACTGTTGGTTTTTAGTAGCACGTTTCGCAAATCTGACGAACTGTTCAGATGAATAATCCAACTAGGTGCTTGACTCTCACCAACTGCTACGATCAAAGCATACATCTCCCAACAATCAGTTTCAGTTCATTCAGGTGGCGAGCGATCAATTGTTTTCGGACATTCCTAGTGATGCTCTTACGTATCATTTAGTTGAAAAATTCTTACATAATGATAGCTATTGACTCAATTTAAGGTCAATAATCGGAGGCCTCCTTAACATCAGCATAAGGCGAAGAGAAGATGGAACGATCGCCCGATCCATTTACCGAAAGGAGACCTAAACAGGCTAATATTTACACTTCGACAGTTTTATGCCCCTGGAGTTAAAAACGTGCTTTTGTTCGAACGCTATAAGACAGAACAAAGCGGATCTGCTTGGAAAATAAAATGGAAGAAGAACTACAAAACCTTCGGGAGATGTTAGCAGAAAACGCTTATCCCGAAGCGTTCGTCCGTAAACATAGCAAAACAATAATTGTGAAAAAATGATCGCGTCACCAAAATTACGAGTCCTGTTGTGCCTCCAATCCAAAGGTGATGACGTAAGCTGTTTATTTTTTTAATAATTTGAGCTGACTATCCTTCGAACTTCACCTTCACGCACAATCCTCAGTTCATCGATTGAACCATACACTCGGAAGCAATAGACTCGAGTTTCGCTCTTATTAGAGCTCATCAGTAGTGCATATCCACTGTCCTGTCCGGGATTTGAACTTCAAGCCCATTGCATGGAAGGCGTGTGCGTTACTACTGCGCCAACCAGCTCATGCCATGGCTGAACTAAATTGCCAATTCATGTTTGTTCAGGTATTGTCTTCAGTGATAGTCAGCCAGTTAATTTGGCCCGACAGTAACGGTTGAAACTACAATACTCCGTCATCAGCCATAGCTCGATATCTTCTGCTGACGCAACACCAGATCGATCGAAGCACGATGTTTCGCATTATCTACAAATCACGAATCGCAAGATTGCTACCGTTTGCAGAACCGATTGAAACCCCCTCCCTTGTGTCAACAAAAAGAACATAATGTTAGTTTATCCTCACCCTCCACCCCGTTTTGTTTGTTTGTTTCATTCTATTTTACTTTTTTTTGTTACCGTGCTAAGTTCCCATGTAAATATTGTGTTTTCTGCAGTATGCACCATGTCGAGATGCAGCGAAATCGTCCCGGACATAAATCGTGTAGTATTGCCACATGGTCTTTTTTGATATCTAGTGAATGCCCACGTTGTAGAGAACACCACGATAGACACTGAAAACAGAGTTAGTATACCAGCTATGATGATTGCTTGCGTCTCAGTTGAGTATATTCCGTTCTTTTTTGTCCCATAGACGACGATGCACGCATGTGCATGCTGCTAACAAACTTTTTACTAGTTCTGGTACTCATATTCTC